CAAACTTAAAAAGGGATATTTGAGTTGAACACTATAGAAACATGTCCTGAGTTTTTTCTTTTTCATACTTATTTTGGAAACCTAATTTAAACTTTCCTTAATATCACCAGGTCTGAGATAAACTTTTAAATAAACCCCAAATATTTATTCTTAATTCTACCTTTTCTTTGATATATATAAATAAATGTATATATATATATATATATATATATATATATATATATACATATATACACACATGAATGTATCATATTTATATAGTATATATTATTAGTGTTACATATATGTGTAAATACACAGTTTGTGGACATTTTCTCCAAAACTCTTGACACAAGAACAGATCTAAAATCATACATCAGAGACACTTATATTGTCTCTTTATTTTTATTGACAAAATGAGTTACTCAGACTCACTTTTATGTAAAGCTAATACATCAGATACAAACTATGCCTATTAAGAAAGAGAATAAATTCAAATGTTACTTGACATGATTATAGAATATTTCCTGGAAAATTTTCCCTGTTTTTAAATTAACTTTTAGAGTATGTTTTATATATTAGAGAAAAGTCATTACCATATATGTGAGGCAGTTTAATTCTTATGTAAACTTGGAGTTGCGCTGGCTAAATATGTCTGAAACACAATTTGTAAAAACAAACAAACAACAACAGAAAAAAAAAAACAAAAAACTTCTGCACTTATGAAGCCAAAAGAAAATGAGCCACACAAAAAAAGTTTGTTATGATAAACTATTCAAATGATATATCGTTTAAAATTCTAACTAGTAAATTTGGAGAACATTTAAAATGGTAAAAGGCTGTCATCTTCAGAGTTCTATAATTTTATTTCTTCTGAAAAGATATTTTACTGTATGTTCAGTACATACATGTTTTCTTATTAGTCATGTGAAATGTAAGCTATTATTTTAGATGTGAGTTGTTTTGTATATAAAAAGTAAAACTGTTATGTACCAATGTTTTTAAAAATGTGCAAAGATATTATGAAAATTAACAGAAGAGGAAATTAATAAAATTTATTTTCCCTTCAAGTTGGAGGAAAAAAATAAATAGACCTATGACATATTATGTTAGTTTATAAATTTTTAAAGATAGAAAATGTTAGGAAGCAGACAGATTAGAATGGTGAAAACACAAGGTTAAGAGAAATAATTCTATAAATCTAGTGTGCTGAACCCCATATATTTTCTTTTCCAAGAAATAATTTATCTGCAGGCCAGCCTAGACTAAGTGAACAGACTATGTCACATTCAACAGCAAACTGTTTTCTGCAAGAGAAAAGCAAGTTCAAAATAATGTAGATAAGAGGAACTCAAGTCACCATGAATGGGGAAACTTTTGTGATGCTTTTCATAGACCAGATCCTGAACTCAGAGATAAGTATAATTCCTCCTAATTATAAAATCTGTAAGAATTTATGATTAAGAAGACAACTAGAATCAGTCAGCATAGGCTCGATGACCTAGAGTTGTCACATAAGTGGGGACATGAAAGACTGATGAAACCCTGTTTCATTTAAAAGCTAAGAGACAGTAATTAGACCAGAAACCCCACACTTAATAGGGCTAAATCTTCATCATATCGGATTAGGCCCCGACTTCTTTAACAAGACTCCTAAAGTGCAAGAAATAAAATTAAGAATTAATAAGTGGGAAGGATTCAAACTAAAAAGCTTCTTTTCAGTAAAAGAAACAATCAATGAGGTGAAAAAAAGCTTATAATATGGAAGCAAATTTTTACCACACACACATCAGATAGAGCACTAATCCCCAGGACATATAAAAACTCAAAAAACTTAACACCAATAAATAAATAAATAAATAAACAGGTTAAATAACTGAACGGAAGAAGATATACAATCAATAAAAAAATATATGAAAAAGTATTCAAGTCCTCTAGTAATTAGAGAAATACAAATCAAAAGTCCTCTAAGTTTTCATCTCACTCAAATCAGAATGGCAATTATCAAAGATACATTGCTGGTGGGACTGCAAATTGGCGCAACCAATCTGGAAAGTAATATGGAGATTCCCTAAAAACCTTGGAATAGAACCACATTTTGACCAACCTATCCCATTCCTTGGTCTATACCCAAAGGAATTAAAAACAGCATACTACAGGGACACAGCCACATCAATATTTATAGCAGCACAATTCACAATAACTAAACTGTGGAACCAAGTAGATGCCCTTCAATAGATTAATGGATAAAGAAAATGTGATATATATATATATATATATATATATATATATATATATATATATATATATGCAATGGAATATTATTCACATTAAAAGCAAATAAAATTATGGTATTTGCAGGTAAAGGTATGGAATTGGAGAATATTATATAAGTTAAGCCAATCCCAAATACCAAAAGGCTGAATGTGTTCTCTCATAAGTGGATGCTAATCTATAATGGAGGTACATGGGATGAGTGGAGGTACTTTGGGCAAAGGGGAGGAATGGGGTATGGGGATAGAAAAGATGGTGGAATGAGACGGACATGATTACACTAGGTACATGTATGATTGCAAGAATGTGTGACCCTACTTCGTGTACAACCAGAGAAGTGAAAAATTGTGCTCCATTTGTATACAATGATTCAAAGGGCATTCTTCTGTCATGTATAACTGATTAGAACAAATAAATTTTAAAAATAAGCAAAAACCCCTCAAAAGATAGAACTTGGAAGGGACTTTCTTGAAACGTCTTTGGAATCCCCAATAAAACTGGAGTGCAAAAGAGGCATGTTGTCTCTCCTCTGTGAGAGGTCCCACTCTCTCCCTTGAGAGTGGCCACTTTCCCTTTTCTTATGCCTTCAAATAAACTCATTCAAATAAACCTGAGTGACATGTCCAAAGTCTTTCTGACTTGATCCCAACAAACAGGGATTTAAGGTGTAATCTTCACATTGTCTCAATAGCATAAAACACTACCATTTTAGACATTTGACTGAATTACTTATCTCTTTGTTCAGGCATAAGCTTGTTTATTCCATGATAGTAATTGTGAAAAACTCTCAAGGGAGTTACTAGAGAAGCATGTATCTTGGATTAATTGGTGTACATTCTTCTGATTTCCTCATCCTTTCTTAATGAAAAAAACTCATTTATAATTTATAAAAATGTAAACTAATGGATACCTCTATTTTTTTAATTGAAAATGTGAATAATATCTATTTTAACAACTTTGTTCTGTGTTCAAATCATGTTTTCAAATATTGGTGGAGTTTTGCCAGATAAATGTGAATTCTTTCATTGGTATATGGCAATGACAAATTGTAATTTTTTAAACCATAATTACAATTTTTTGTTTTGTCCTCAGATAAATAAAGTCAAAAATACAATATTATTTTTCAATTTTATTTTTGATATCCAACTGATGGCTTAATTTTTATAAAACTGTACTTCATATTTAGAAGCAACCACTATAAAATTAAAGAGTATATTTTCTATAATAGAGAAAAATTTGATTTACTTGCTTACATTTCTTGAATCAGTTTAATTGTTCAGTTCATTACTCACGCTGAATAATAATATCTGGAAGTGGCAAGTTTACATCCAGATGAAAAATTCTGACCTGCCATAGATGTAGCTTAAGTATCCTCTAATTAATGACAGTTTAGAATCTCTGTAATACAGTATAAATATGTATTAAATTAATAATACAATCTACTTTATGTAGAAATACATACTTATTAAGTAAGGCACAATATACAAAAAGTGTACCTTTGATGTAAATCCCAGCTATATTACATTATTATTGATAATAAGAGCATGCACTTATTGTGGAGGCTGGGAAAAAAACACTCAATCTCCTAGAAACTGTTTTTATGCAATTAATTTTACCATAAAATATCTATTTTTAACATTATTGCAAAGAGTAACTACTGTATAACATGATTTATCAGAGGTTTTATGCATAATGGTGGATCAATAACTTTGAATTGTATTATATAATACATTTATAATGGAATTTATCACATATTTTATATGTATATAGTGTATTTTATTTTATAGATGTCATACTATACTCTATGTGTATTATATATTCCTATACAGACTAGGAATTAAACATTATGGTTTTAGAAATAGTGTATTTATAATCCTATGAGTTTGCAGATAAAAGGAAAGAAGCATCACAGATATTAAAACTGAATACAGCAAAATAGAAAACACCCTTAATATGTGTGGGGATTTGTACTTATGTGTTTAAAGGGAAAATAAACTTTGGGTGGTAATTGTGAGCAATGGTTAAGAAGTCACTCAAGGTGTGGAGGATAAAGCTTATAGTTATTGGCTGCCAACTTAAGATTTGTTCATTTCTATGTCAAAATATTTCATTTCTAAAAAGCTATTTTCTTTTTGAGAATCTTTTATTTTGTCGAATCATCAAAATTATCATCTATATATGGTATATTTTCAGTAATTTCAGATTTTTTCCTTGGCTTAGGAAAATATATCTAGTTGGAAAAATACAACACAACTATCAATGTCTTTAAATGATTTTTATTGAATTAGTGGAGAAATTGAAATCAGCAGAATTTTTAGGAACACCTGATAATATTGTCTTATCATCCAATATATTTTTGCTTTATCAGTAGTCTGTTAGTTTGCAAAAGTAGATGTTATTGGAGTGCAAACGTTGTCTTGATTCAAATGATAATACAAATCAGTCTTGATATTTTGAAAATTTATTCATAATAGTCCAGAATAAATGAAGGCATTCTTTTTTTTTCCAAAGATGTGTCTTACTGATATATCCTATTAGTTGGTATTTCTTTCTGCAACTCCATCTAATAATACTGATTTTTTTTGTTCATGCAATTTTGTTCCAATTTGGTAGTCAAATTACAAATTTTTAGAAATTAAATTTTAAAATAAATTTACCCCAGTTTAGTTCCCAGGAAAGCTGCAGGAATGCTGTCTAAATTCAATAAAATTGCTGAAACAACACCCACAGATGGGACACAGATATTTCTATCCATTATCAATGCTTATGATAACAACTCTCATGTTATGGTGAGATCTCAAATGATTTTTAAAATTTTTTCTGTTGGATGTACTTTGGATTTGGGTCCGTGGAATATAGAACCCTGACCTCACAAAAATTTGAAACCCATCCCTCCCTTTATCACTTGATTTGTAAAATTTTCCTGATGTCATTCGCTCAATGAGGGAACAATAGTAGTACACCCTCAAAGGCCTTCCAAATATTATGGTTCTCGAACCATGGGTGAGGACATTTGGTCTAGGAACGAATGCTATATATTTTTGTTTCATCCACATGCTATTTTGATGACCTACAGTCTGAGAGAAATGTCTCCCACATAGCAGATGGAGAATCATTCCTCTTATCTCATGATTATTAATGAATGGTATTCTCCATTGAATTGAAAGTTGGAGAGGAATTTTGTAATTTATGATGTTGTGATAAAAATCATTCACTTTTATCTGCACTTTCCCTGGGTAGAATATTGGTCTGTCACTTAAGAAATTGCCTTTATCAGTTTTCAGCAGTGGGATACTCAGATAAGTAATTCTCCCTAGTCCTGACATAAGAAAGATCAATTTTCTAGGAATAGGCATCCGAACTACAAGAGAGTTTTGTGATGCATCTTCCTTTTGAGAATCTTTTTGAATCTTTTCTGCTTCAAGCTCAATATTGTCCGCTGTTAGAAGAACAGCATCCTCCTGGGAGGTTGATGTGCTTGGCTGCCTGTTCATTGGGTTGGATTCCGCCTGAGAGATCATACTGGGATTAGCAAATGAAGGCTCTATGTCTGCACTACAGTCATGTGGAGCCTCATTTTCAGAAATTTTCAGAGCGTTGTCAGCTGGATCACTTCCTTCTTTAGCACGAGAAGTCATCCTGGATTCTATTTGTGAGAAAGAAGACAAGATGTATTAAATTGGGGAATGTTTTACATCATAAGAAATCAGTCCTTTACTCTTGATGAAAAACATATGGATGTTGTATTCCTGTGCTTTCTCATGTCTATAAATATCTTATCAGAGTCATAAACAAAAATTTAAATAAGAGAAAGTCAAAATGATAAGAAGGGCTAGGGTTGTAGCTCATCAGTGAAGCTCCTGCCTGGCACATGTGAAGCACTGGGTTCAATCCTCACCACCACACAAAAATAAATAAATGTATTTTGTCCATCTACAACTAAAAACATAAAAATGAAAATAAAATGGTGAGAAAATGCAAGACATCTATTTTATATGTTTTCTCATTAGTTATAGAATTTACATAAATCATGAGTAACTTAAACTCTCTTTTTGATAGTTCAGCAATGTACTTTATACGTTAGAATACACATGGTTCTGGTTATGAAGTCCTATTATCTATTCCTTTTGGATGAAAAATCCAATAGAATTTTTGTTGAGTAAGATATATCTGAATTAATGACCTTGGAGTTTAAAATGACACTAAAGCAAAAGGTGGTTATTATGTGAATATATGTTTAGGAAAGATTTAAGATCTATGTTAAAAAGTATTTGAATATTTGAGATAAAATTTTGTTGAGAGCCACAGCCGAAGGGGCCCCAGCAAACTTCCAGCTGCCAGCAAACTTCCAGCTGCCGGCTGATGATTGGCTCACAGCGGCCCCAGCAACATCTAGCTGATTGGCTCCTCTGCGGTGATGCTCATTGGGCTGTTTCCCTGCCCTTTCAGACCACGGAGCTGCTCATTGGGGAACTTTTTTGGCTCCGCCCACGTGACCCAGCCAATCGGCCTCAAGAGCAGGAGGATTGTGGGAGGGGGAGAGAAGCTTGTGTGGGAGAGAGAGGCTTGTGGAAAGCCAGTGGTGGCAGTTGAGGCTCTGAGGGTTTTTCCTGAGAGGCTGTTTTGTTTGGCATGTGTGGTTCTAAAAATAAAGTTAGTTTCTTTTGACAAGTGGCTCCTGATTGTGCCCAGCCAGACTGCGGCAAAATTTAAATTTTTTTCCCTTGGAACTTTCTTTCTTTTTTAATTCCCTGTTCTTAAACAATGCATCTTCAAAGAGGAACAATTGTTAATTATATGATAAGTGGAGACAAGGGAGTAAAAAAAATAGTTAAGTTCAAATTTAGTCCATTTATCTCCCAGATTCACCATTTCCTTTTCATTCTCACTGCCCCAGCCCTAGTAAAGCTGGAAATATCTCATTATTGCTTTACTGATGATAGTAGCTTATTACCTGCATACCTAAGTTTCCACTTACCTGTTTTATCTTACTTATCTATTTATTTTCTCCTGACCTCTTCCTGCTCAAACATCTAAAGAATATCCTAATTCTGCAAACTACATGTTTCCAATGTGCCTAATATGAGTGAAGTTGGTACAAACTCATTTGGGAGATTTTTTTATGAGGGCATGAAAATGGATAAGGCAGGTTCTAATCCAAGACAATGGGGAAGAAAGGCAAATTCAAATAGACTGAAAACAAATCTTTAGAGATTTCAAAAATTAAAAAAAAATACTACTTTCTCATTGCTGATTTTGATGAACTAATACAGGCAGAATTTATGGTTAACTGGATACAAAGATTCATAATGACACAGACCATTATTTCATGCTGTAGATTTCCTCAGAGAACCTCCACAACTTGAATTCTCTCCTCTGACAAGCTTTCTTTCCTCTACTCAATCAACATTCTTTCTGTGTGGCACTGCTGTTGAATTTTTATATTATGCTCATCTTTGTCTTCAATTTAGTCCTTAGTTATTTTCCAAAATTTGATATTAATGCAACAGTGACAATTTTTTTCAAACAAATTTTATATTTTTTATTCAAGGTAATTATAGCAAAGTTTTATTATGTATCTTTAACTTTAGTGAATTCTAATGTCATGTAATTATATACACTACAAAAGCATACCATTCCTTCACATCAGTTACCATATGAAAGTTTGTCACCATTTTGCTTATTCTATCATAATGTAATTTATGTCATTTTTATTTGCTTCTAAAAAACTAATTCTCAAGATTCATATCTTGATCCTCTAGCCTACATGCTTGTTCTTTCTTTCTTTCTTTCTTTCTTTCTTTCTTTCTTTCATTCTTTCTTTCTTTTTTTTTCTGAGCTTCACACTCCACAAAAATTTCACAAGCATATTTATGGTACCTTACTGAACTTTACTGAGATTTTTCATTTCATGTTTGGCAATTAGAGATAATATCTACCAAAACATATCAACATTAACAATTACCAATAAGGTAAGACAATAAACATAGTCTATGTTTTAGAATATGTCTGAAATGACCAACTCAAACTCACAAAATTTGGAGAAATGACCGACTGCTTCTCAGTAAGGCTGAGATGCAGTTTTCTGGTGAGAACTGAAGTGACTGATTGTCATCTAGATCTTGTCAGATGCAGCCTGAAAATAGGTAAAAATATTTTTATGAAAAATTATGTAGAGTTGTCACCTCTTTCACCTTCTTTCCCCAAGAAAAAATGTATATTTTGTTTTGTTCTTCCATGGGGTCTCATGCTTTCATATCTCAGAGTAATTGTGAGACTGTTTATTCCCTTCCATATTCTGCAGTGACATAATATATATCCAGTATTTATTTTGTAGGTATTTATATATCTATTAAAGATATTTATACTGCTATACTATATTATGATTGATTTTTCATTAATGTGTATATTACATATAAAGGTTTATTTTTTTTCCTCTGCAATGTAGTCACATCAAACAACTACGCATTTACAGATACTAGTGCTCAAATAAAAATAAACTTTCATTTGGGTTGTACAAATAATTGTCAGGTATTGTGTTAAACCTCATAATCTTTGTATTTTAATTCATTGTTTATGTTTGCAAATAGTTTAAACTCACCTGTTTTTTTTTTTTTTTTTTTTTTTGCTTACTTTACCATATTCTAATAATTCGGGCAATGAATGTGGGTTTATTCAAACAATACAATCTGCTGTTTTCTTCCATTTTCTGGTTTTTGTATTTTTTACTAACATAGAACATGTATTTTAATATTTATATTATGTATGCAGAAATACATGTAAAGATTAATTTATGTTTCTTTATATTTCTATAAATGTAAAATTCTATAATACACATAGTATATATTTTTACATAATTATTTCAGGGTTTCTTTAGAAAATCAATATTGTTTTGCTTAACAAATATAAATGTTGACCTGCCAGATAGCCTTTAAAATTGTATATCAAAAATTGTTAAAGAGAACATTTTTTGAGTTGATAATTGTGGGCCTAAGGAAACAAAATATTATAGGTTCCTTTTTCTAAATGATTATTACATAAAACACTATGTTAAAATTATGTAATCTAATATGGTGTTTGGTGTTTTCAGATATTCTCCTCTGATTCAGAGTTTTATATGGAAGTCCTGTTGAGATTCAGGAGATGCATACAGAGTTTAAAAAGAAATAAAATTTTCACTGTTGCTATATGACAGTAAAACATTATTTGAAATGGAAAATATTAAGGCAATCTTGTTTTTAGTATCTTCAAATGTATCTAAAATATTGCCAGATATGGTAGAACACACCTGCAATTCCAGAAATTTGGGATGCTGAGGCAGAAGGATTATAAGATTGAGGACAGCCTAAGCAATTTAGCAATATTCTGTCTCAAAATAAAATGTAAAAAGTGTTGAGTATATAGCTTAATGTTAGAGCACCCCTGAGTTCAAAGCTCAGTACCACATATACACAAAATTGTGTGTAGGGGGGGTGCATGTGCATGCATAAGTTTAAACAAAGTGGTGAAGGATCTCCACAATGAACATGATGATACATTGATGGAAGAAATTGAACAGTTACAGAACATGTGTCACGATCATGGAGTGGAAAAATCAACAATATTAAAATGTACATAATCTTAAAGTGATATACAGATTGAATTCAATCTCCACTCAAATTTCAATGAAATACCTTGCAGAACTAGAAAATGCAATCTAAAGTTTATATGGAACAATAAGTAGACCTAAATTACAAAGAATATCTTGAGCAAATATAACTAAGAAAGAAGTATTCATCACATGCCTTGACTTCAAAACATATTCCACAGTTGTGGTAATCAAAACTGAATGTCATTACTAGCATTACATTAGCATTACTAAAGACATATATAACAATGGAACAGAACAAAGTATCTTAAACTCACACTAGATATTTTACAATACTGCTAAGCACAAATTAGGAAAAAAGTCTTTTCAATATAAAGTGGTGAGAAAATTGGATGTCCACATGTAGAAGAATCAAACTAGATCCTTATCTTTTACCAGCTACAAAACTAAACTTAGAGTGGATTAAATTCAAAAACAGAAGATCTGAAACTGTGAAATTTCTGATAAATAAAGCCTAGAGGATACACATTAGGATGCAGGAATGGGTAAGAAAAAAATCTTATGCTCAGTAAAACAAACAATTAATAGAGTGAAAAGACAACCTACATAAAACATGGGATAAATTATTTTTAAGCTATACATCTCACAAAGATTTAGTATATGCTATATGAGGAAGACCAAGAACTCAATTGCAAAAAATATAAAATGAGTATTTTACCTAAACAGACTTTTGTAAAAATAAACTATATGTATGTGGAAAATATTCAAAATCATCAAGGATATGCAAATCAAAAAATATGACAATGAGATGTCACCTCACCCCTGTAAGATGGTTATTATCAAGAGGACTAGGGATAAAAGATGCTAGCAAGAATATGGAGAAAAGCAAGCCCTAGACCCTGTTGGTGATAATGTAAATTAGTAAGGTCATTATGGAAATCAATTTGGCGGTTCCTCCAAATGTTAATAATGAAACTACCATATCAGCTAGAAGTCTGTTGAAGAGATATTTGAATTTTCATATTTATTGCACCATATTCACAATATTCA